CAGAATAAGGGCTTTATTGTGCACAGAATCCTGCATTTCCATTTTAGGCAGCAGTGGTCACTGACTCTACTGCATCGGCCGAGGAGTGGTGTGTTCAAGTGACTCTTTCGCAGCCGCGACTGCTTAGACGCGCTTGCGCTGGGAAGTCGGTCAAGGGTCCTCAGGTCAGCGAGTTGGAAACAGCCGCCTGCTAAGTCGCATGACGTCGAGGCAGTGGGTATTGGACAAACAAATCAGACAGCATTGTTGGCCATCCGACACAGGATACAGTCGCTATACTAATGCATACCTATAGATCCGCGACAGAATCCGAAACCCAGTTTACCCAATTGGGAAATAAACCGACGGCCCAGGTGGGTTTCTAATCAAGGCCATCAAGGGGAAGATTTTAGTACAGCCAACGCTCTAGCCAACTGGCCTAAGAGGCCCCATCTGTGGGCGTGAATTTAATCGCACTTGGGCCAATTTACCTGTCCAGCCTACTACAACGTATGGAATCTATCAATTCTGATACAGTAAGTTGGCTGCCCAGCTTGAGTGTTGGCTGTACTAAAGCCTTCCCCTTGCATATGATACGGCTGTAATCATGCCTGATCTAGCCGGCCTCAATGATGTCACGGACGATAGTTTTCCACGCGTAATAATTAGCAACGTGAGTTTGAATCGCACCGAGTTTTTCACAATTGAGTTAGATGAATTATTCGAATCTGCAATACCCCTCCATTAATAAGGAATACAAAAGGTCAGGCGAATAAAATTACTATCCCAGCGATCGCACTTACTTCTTCTCAATGGCAACTACGTTCCGCAAATACTGAACTTCGTGTGCAACACAGCACCCTTGTTTGCGACTGCCTCTCTGATGACGGATTCGAGTGAGAATCCGAAACGTCGGGCCAATAAACTTCCTGCTTCAGCGATCTTGTTCTCTTTTTCTGAATACTTGCTGGAACTCGCTTCTATCACCATAAGTTTTCATTCCAGGGACACGACTGTGGAATAAGTCCCCCCCATTAATCAACAGTTTAAAAAATCGGGGGATGATTTATTGTTTATAAACACAGACTACAAGTGAAGGACACGACATTATTTACAGTAGCGATCTGATTTCATCTTCTCCCGCCTAAAACAGAAGATGAAATTGGTAGAGGGAAAGAATACGTGAGAATGATCAATAAATGAGTGGAAAGAGATGTTCAGCATAGAAGACGAAATCTAAAAAAAACGCACCTGTCTAACATGCACTCATGGAGATAACCTTCGGTCTTAGCAGACTTCAGTGCGTGTGCATCTTCTTTCGTCAGGCGAATTTTCTTGTCTTGCCAACTCTGAAACTTGCGGCTACGAAATCAAGTGTGAGAGAGAGTTTTATCATACCCTACTAAAACCACATGATATACAATGAATTACAAATCCCATTGGTATGAGCAGAGGAAGTCCAGCTGAATTCCTGGTTTCTTACTGTAAATGGGGCCATAACTTAACAATGACAAGTGGCCCAAGATAATAGGAATGGTAACCTAGGAGTCTACGAGTAGTCTACTGCCGACGGCGTCCTCATCTTTGGTTGTTTTACTTTTACAGTTCAGGTAGGTGTGGTGATTACAACCATCGTGGTTGGACAGTGAAGCTTTGCCAAGGTTCAAATAAAAGCGAAATGTAAGTCCCAAGATGGATCCGGATCGAAAACGTCACACAGAGACCGAAGGCAATCATGAGTCGTCAGATAAGGAAACCAAAAGACCCACTGCCACGGCAAGAAACATCTGCAGTTGGCTAAAGGATCTATTGCAGTTGCGGATAAAGCAACTAAGTCGCAGAAACTGAAAGAATTCTCAAGACGCGAATTGCCGAACACACGGCAGCAGTGCGGAGAAATGACGCCAATTCCCAAGTCACGGCTCATTCGACGAGACCCGGCCGCATATTCAAATTTGATGAGGCCGATATTTTTACAGGAGGTGACAATCGTGTGAGTCGCGAATTACTTGAGTCATGGTTCAAGGGCCCATAGTCTATAAACAGGTACAACTACCTGCCCAACCCATATTCGGTACTGAGGCTGTTTGACCAAAGCAATTCGCCACTGGGGGATAACGCAGAGGCGAACGCGTCGTCTAATGCTTGCGCCAGCGAACCGGATGGCCGAGCAATCATCAGGCCCAAATCCACCACGGATGATGAAAGTTCAGTAGATGGCGCGGAGATATGGCATTATTTTCGTCAGTCCCCGATTCTGGCCTAATAACGATGAGTTTGGAAATAGTAAGTTAAGCAGATGCTGAGCGGATCTGTTTCATCATTGACAGATTCACGCAGAAAGCAACACATGATCGCTGAGATAATAATGCTTCTAGCCGCATGCAAACGTGAGATTTGGATAATACCGGGTCTTTTCACAATTTTACGGAAACCTCAAAAGAGGGCATGAAGCCTTTCCTTGGCATATTTTAGCAACGAATAGCTAATAGACATTTCAAAACTAATGGTCTGCTGCTTCAATCCCAAACTAAATAGAATAAACGAGCAGCGACGTCGTTAGCCACTCCTACTCAAACCCAAGTTTGCGTTGCCTGGGATTCGAGACTGGATCCTTTGATCATTTAATGTCGACTAAGGATATTAGTCTGCCTTAATTCCACCTGTCTAGGTGCACAGTTATCTTTTTGGACCGTCATCATTCAGCCCGACAGCACACGGTACTGTGTAAGGAAAAAAATAGAAATCCGGTGTGTGAGCCAAGTAAAAGTGAATAAACCTGCATCCCATGTTTAACTTGAAAAGTCTATTTGACAAGCATATGCTTTAGGCAATAAATCATTGGGTCGGTACAATTGCATGGATAATGAAGATAGCACAGTTGAGCAGGGTTAATGAGTGTCTCATGATTACAACTGGTCGTTTTCATACCGCCCGCGTGGCGAGATCGGCATGTAGAGGTAACTAGACTGGGTGAGGGATTGAATAGGTTAGGCCGTGAGTATTGGTCACGGATCGAGTACGCAGAGTAAAATTCAGTCACGTGCACGGAGTGAACACTCATCACCAGGGCGTGGGGGCGACACGAGATCGCCACATGGCGTCGGCCACGGAAGAGAGGGCGTCCGTATTAGGGTCTTCTGACAGCACGGCACTGGATTTGCTGGCCGTATAGCCCTTGCTCCGGCTGTTACCAGCAGCCGTTGCCGTAGACTCTTAGAGAAGTTGGTTGGTGTCCGGTAGACAACATGAAAGGCTTCGTTAGGATCGACCCGGTAATTCGGATCGACAAGGTTTGTGGTAAAAGAGCTCGAGATTGGTCTAGTTTCACCTTTACTTAGCCAGACCGGTATGTGTTCACATACTCCCTTCTCCAGGCGCCTAGTTGTTCGCTGCTCTAAAGGAGCAAGTAAAAAAATAAATGCACATGCATATGGCCTTTAACGGGAGTCGGTTTTTACCTCCCAAGCGTAGGAGGGGAGGGCTCGTGAAAAATACGCGTGAGTTCGTCGCAGGAAAGCGCTTGTGGTCACTATCTTCAGACGTCGCCTTATCAGCTCGCTAGCTGCATCGCATAAGAAGGACAGTCCTATGAACACGTCTTTCTTTTCTGCAGTAAAGGTAACACGCTTTTTGGTGCGCTCGCCAATATTCATGTACTGTCCTCATTATCCATGAGATTGCACCGGCCCGATGATGAATTGCCGAAAACATCTGCTTGCCAAGTACACTTTTTTTCAAATCTGCATCCATTTATGTAGTTTTAAAACACGTCAGAATGTCGCTATCTTAGTTATTTTTGGCCAACACCTGAAAATTTTATGGAAAAATGGCACTACGAAACAAAATATGCGGGAAAAAACGATTTGCATGGAGCAGTCGCGGTCAGACATCGCCCAGAAGTGTTTGATAACACTAACGGCGTACGAATGAGTATTCCTAGATGTGTTTGAATTTTCTTAAAGAAAAAAAAGGAGGAGAAAAATGAGGTCAACATAAAAATACTCCCGGAAAAAAGTTTACCTTCTAGCTAACACGACAATTTAACATACAAATAAATTACTTTTCCGGGAGACCAATACTTTCTCGATAGTTCAAGAATAATAGACCATCACATATTTGAAAAAAATTTTGCCCAGAAGAAATTTGAACAAGGGAACGACTAGTTGAAGTTGAATAAGAGGTCGCAAAATTATATGACGTCAGTAAATTCTGCTAGTCGTCGCCTTGTTCAAAACACATATTTGTTTGTATTTTAAATTTGCTCAAGTTGAAAAACCTTGAACTATGCGGTTCGCCAGTCTCAGGGCTGACAACCAAGAGCAGCTTCGGAAAAAAAGAGGAACGATGGAAAGAACTGTTGCTCAGGCAACAAGAAGAACGTACACATAGTTCAACTCAGCTTTTCTGACACCACTGCGTTCTTCTTCAGGCATATCCAAGAGTGGATCATGAGAGAGTTCCCGATTGCAACGGATCTGTGGGAATAAGAAGAATATACTCGCAATAGACACGTGGAGAGAATGAGCTACAACGTGACGGCCAGATGTTTACTGTTACCTAGAAAACTACACTTTAAAGGAAAAGGATTGTCCTGAGCTTCCAGACTCTTACGATAGTTTACCGACAGAGATAAGAAACAGCAACAAAAAGTGAGCAGTGATAAGGGAGCAGTGATAAGGGGTATACGCCAATCAACTGTTAGTGACGCACGCCCAACATTCTATTCAGTGCGCCCTATAACATCAAGCATCGGCTATCTCACCTAGACGTCGAGCTCATAGAATTTCCCCAAACTGTGCGCAACACCCAGGTCAAGCTACGGTGCCAGCTCCCAGACCACGTCTGGAACATGGAAAGCCACTGAGGTTCAGAAGCACCGGTTGCTGGGCATGCAATAAAACGTCAGTATCCCAGATGGCTTAGAAAAAGAGCCTATCCACGATACCGTTCATTCAAAGCCCTGTCCCCATTGAGCGCCACCGGGTCAGGTGGTTCTGGTTGGCGGAGCGAACTTCATATGGACAACTGGCCAGAGTACAGGCTGAACTGATTCATGGCACCCCTGATCCAAACCGTGGTTGGTGCTGATTAAAAAGAGTACAAGAAGTTTGCCAAAAGACGT